AGGGTCTCCTGCTTGAGCAGGGGGTTGGACTAGAAGACCTCCAAGGTCCCTTCCAGTTGTATTCTATTCTAATTGTGGTCAGAAGTTGAAAACTAACTGCATCCTTATCCATCTATCCATCTACCATCAATTATCCATCCATCTTCACCCTTTCTCTACGAATGTCCTGTTGAAGCTTATTCGTCCTGCTCTACCCCTTTCCTATTCACACAACCCTCCTGTCCAGTTCCTGATGGAAACCTCTGAGGTTGTCTCAATTCCTTTTCATCTCCTCCAGTTAAAAACACCCCATCGCAGAAGGAGGATCTCTTGCCTACACGGATCACATTGAAACGCCGGGACCCCATTTCTTCCCAAATCACATTGCTGTTTGTTTCCCCCCTGCCCCTCGGCCAGGTCACTGAGGACTAGCGCAATGCTTTCCATCACATCCGCCCTCCCTCCCTCCCTGATCTCGTAAAGCAACCATTAGAGAAGTTTGCTGCGGTGCCTCAGGACTGTGCAAACTTGCAAACTGCCCGACACTTGGGGAAAACAGTTTGGGATTTGAAGGAGTAAGAACCACAATGAAGAATATTAACGTTCTTTATCTTCCCTTTTTGGCGGGCAGAGCGGGCGATGCTGTGAGCCTCTGTGCAATGCTGGAAATGAGATTATGGCAATTTAGACAACTGTTGCGGGTAGGAAAGAAGCGAAAACACATTAGACAAGTTCACTGGGTCCCTAATGTGTGTGATGTTGTGCAGCTCCAGAGGGACTGCGGAAGAAGCACAAAAAGAGATCTTTTCCTATCCGCTCGCCTTTATTTCTCTCCCCTCCTCCTTTAATTGGGAAGCAGTTAGGCCTGCTCTCCTGCAGGCCTTTGACTGATGTATCTACCCACGATTTCATACTTTCTTCCTCTAGAGATTTCTTTTTTTGTGTTCTTCCATGCTTTGATTCTCTTTTAATGAACCCTTTGATTAAATAAAAATGACATAAACCTATTTTTAATATAGAAGTCAACCGGGGAAGAGAGGAATTGGGGAGTCTGCGCAAATGGCATCCGCCATGGAGGAATATTCAATCAAAACAGAATGGAGGGTGGATTTATACGTGGAAAGGGAGAGATCTTGAGGCCTTTGCAGAAGGCTTTTGACTTCCAAAATCTGCAGAGCAACCTCTGGTCCCTGCAAAGGTTTCTGTTGTGGCACCCTGGCTATCCTTGCTGCAAAAACTCTTCCTGCATCAGGGCAGGCCTCAGGAGCAGAAAGCTGGAGGGCCCACGTTGGTTTCAAGGGATCAAGTTTCCAGACCTCATGGATAAGGAGAAAAAGAAATGGGGAAAAAATACATTTGATTCCACTCTGTATTTAACATCCAACTTGAAAAGAGGTTTTTTTTTCCCCCAGTTATGGAGTGAGCATTTTCTTCTAGCACAACCTTAGCCATTAAGAAAGCAAAATATTTGTAGCTCAGGGCTGAAATGAGGGGTCCTTGGTGCTCTCTGAGCTTGTTTTCTTGCAAGCCCCTCAACCCTAGCCACTTCCATACACAAGGACTCGGTCCCAACCTACCCCTTGTGTACTGGATCGGTGTCTTGTGCAAACCCAGGCAATGGGTATTGCAGTCCATCCAACCCTTTTTGGTTTTCATTCTCAGAGTTGAAATCCACCCATGCGGGCTAAGGAATTCTGGGAAATGAAGTCTGTTGTTGTTATTCAGTCAGCTGTCCTCCACCGTCTCCCAGAGTTTGTCCAGAATCATGTTCGTTGTGTTGATGACACTGTCTAACCATCTCATCCTTCGCTGTCCTCTTCTCCTGTTGCCTTCCGTCTTCTCCAACATCCGGGTCTTCTCCAAAGAGTTCCTCTCTTCTCATTTGGGGGGCAAAGGATTTCAGCTTCAGCTTCAGCATCTGTCCTTCCAAAGGACATCAGAGTTGGTTTCCTTTACAGTTGACCAATTGGATCTCCTTGCAGTCCAAGGGACTCTCCAGAGTCTTCTCCAGCACCACAGTTTGAAGTCCAACCATCTTAAAGTCACCAAGTGTGAAAAAAAAATGATCTCAAACAAAGTATTCCGGCTTTAATTCGTATTTTTAAACAGCAAATGGCTCTTTCAGAGGAAAAAAAAATCCCACTGGAACAGCCCCAGGGATGCTAACCCCCTTTGCAATATTTTGTTCAGGGAGGGGGAAAAAAGTCATATTTTCAGTACGCAGCTGTGACAGGATGTTCTGAATGGGCCCGAAGAACCATTTCTCACGCCTGGAAAGTTAATGACTGATCTCCAGCACAAGTTTACAATTTAATTGAAATATGGCAGGCAGGAACTGGTAAGATGATTAATGCTGTCATTAATCACTGACTGGGCGGCAGCAGCAGCAGCAGCAGCAACACCATCCCAGGTCTGTAATAATGCTGAGCAGGAGCCCAGCCAGGCTAGCCAATAAGCTGGGTGGAGGCCAGCAATTTAGGGAAAAGGAAGAGGGGAGAAGGAGACCCTCAAATAATTGCCCATCTCTACCAATATTGCAGTCTCCGTGGTCACGGTTAGGAAGATGTTCTCATTTTATCATGTAAGTGGGAGGGAATGAAGATAAAGGGATAAAATTAAGGAAGTTTCCTGGGGTTCAGATGGATAACTTTGGGGTTGAGGGGGAGATTCTACCCAGGAGGGAGGATGCTCAGTGGTTGGGTTTGCAAAATACACTGAGAGTTAAATCCCAGAGCTTACAAAAACCCTGTAATGGGCCTTTTCGTGATGGGAGGGAAGGAAATTCAGAAATGGCCCCTTGCTTTTCAGACCAAGTCAGGCTGGTGCCTTTTTCTCTTCCCTCCCCATCTTGAAATTCACTAGGCTCCAAAGCTTGTTCCTTTCCTTTCCTTTCCTATTTAGAAGGGTGAAGAAGGGAGGGAGGAAAGAAAGAAAATGGAGGGAGGGAGGGAGGCACACAGGGAGGGAGGGAGGGAGGGAGGAAAGGAAGGAAGGAAGGAAGGAAGGAAGGAAGGAAGGAAGGAAGGAAGGAAGGAAGGAAGGAAGGAAGGAAAGAAGGAAGGAAGGAAGAAAGGAAGGAAGGAAGGAAGGACGAGAGAGAGAAAGAAGACAGATGGCACTAAGCCTCCTTTGATTTCATCCTAGTTTGCTTCAACCCCATGAGAAGCCACATAGTGTAGACGTGCAAAATGCAGCAGCCAGGTTCACAAAACACACTAAGCTTTATTCAAACCCTCTGGGCTTTGTAAGTTGTGTGGATCATGTTTTTCTGCAGATTTAGCCAAAAGAAGCCAACGTGGGTTTGATCATAATTTGTGGACGACGAGCAGTAGTATCTGGGTTGATGTCATCATCCCTGACAAAATAAAGGTCAGGGCAGTGTTTCTCAAGTTGGCCCCCTGAAGATGGGTGGACTTTAACTCCCAGAATAAATCTCCACCCCCCCCCCTCCGTTGAAGTCCATCCATCTATAAGGGGCCCAAGGTTGAGAAATACTGGATTAGTGAGGCTTTAACGGTGGAAAAAGAAGGGATGTGGAATCCTTAGCCCCCTTCCAGAAAGTGGGAAGATAAACCAAGGTTACTGAGATTCGGAACCATCATCCACAGCCAGCAGAAAGATGCTGATAGAGAAGGCATTCAGGCTTAAGCAATGGCAAGCTTTTCTATGGAACTCTGCTGACCTCTGGAGGAATTATTGTGCCAACATTCTCCCTTTCCAGCTAATTCAATGGTACACCCACCAGATGTGCAGGGACTTCAAATCCCAGGATTCCTAGCCAGCCTCGCATGGAACTCTGGGAGACACCGTCCAAATAGCCCTAGAAGGCAGCAAATGAGGAATGCAGCCTGAACATGCCTTTTCCATTTTCGTCTGTACAAGCTGGCTAAGATTTAAAAAAAAAATCAGTGCAACTGAGGAATAGTTTGCAAGCATTTTCTTGGTGGAGGAACAGCTTCTCCTCCTCTCCGAAGAAATTTTCTATATAATAATTTCTGAGTTGAGGGTTGCTTTCCCCCAAAGAACTCCCTGCGTGTGTGTTTTCTGGTTCTCTTCTCGCTTGACTTATTTCTGTTCGAAGCACTTAATCTAGATTTTGCATTAATTTGTGTCTTTCAGCCCCCGAGAGCACGGTGGCTTCCCTCGCACACTCACACGCAGTCCATCAGCACTGCAAATAAATCATATTGAAATTAAAGGTCTGCGGTTTTCAGGAAAGAAAATAAGGGCCGTTAATCTCAGAGACATGCCTCCAAGGATGAATCAGTGTTCCTTAAATCAATGAGGTTTAAATTAACAGTTGCTATATTAGGCGAATCGGCGGTATTAATTAGGAACATTTTGATCAACTATAAAAAGATGTTGCCAATTAATCACTGGGCCCAGATATGAAAAGCCCCCCTTTTAATTCATGATTTGGGTTTTTTAGAGTCAGGATTCAACTGAATGGTTCTGTTTTGGGGAAGACCCACTTCTCCGTTCAGTGGCCCCCAGATTGGTTACGTATGGCTGGAAGCAGGGGAGGGGGGAAAGAGTTAAATCCACAAGCTGCATGCATATAACACATAAACCTGGGTATGGTTTGCTTGTTTCCTTAGCCTAAAGGAATGTTTCCCAACCTTGGCAACCTGAAGGTGTGTGGACTTCAACTCCCAGAATCCCCCAGCCAACCATGGGTGGAATTCAACTCCCCTGGCTGGGGACTTCTGGGAATTGAAATCCACAGGTCTTCAAGTTGCCAAGGTTGAGAAACAGGGGCATACTATATCATCCCAGCCATTCTGCTTTGGATTTTAGCGTGTGATGTGTGTGGTTCGGGCTTAATCAAAATCAACCGCGGCTAAGGTCTTTCTGCTCCTTACTGCAGTCGCCCCTCTGCCCTTCCTCAGCCGCTGCCCTTCTTCTTTCTTTGGCAGGCAGCTTTGCAATGCCAACTCCTCGGGGCAGCGACGCGGCCGATTTGTCCCGCTTTACTCCGACCCCAACGTCCCTTTCCCTAGGGCGCCGCGGAACCAAGCAAGAGAGGCGCTCTGCACACGCCTAGAGACTCCCGGCTTCGGGGAAGCGCTCCGCCCAGCTTGACGCTCCGCCCGGGAGCAGGGACGCGCGCAGAAGCAGGCCAGGCCGGCGGCGGCGGAGGAAGAGGCGGAGGGAACGATCGCTTGGAGAGTAAGCGAGCAAGCAAGCAAGCTCGGGGGAAGGCCGAGCTCTGGGTCCGGGCCGGCCACGGAGAGCCGAGCCGAGCCGAGCCGAGCTGAGCCGCGCGCCTTGGAGAGCCGTAGCTGCAAGGGCTCTGCGCCTTCCCTTGCTTCCTCCCGAGGAAGGGGGCCCTCACGCCGGAGCGGCATTGGGGGGGGGGTTTGCTTTCCGGCCTTCTGGCGCGCCTCCGCCGCTTCCCGCTGTCCCCCCTGCAAGCTAAGGCGCCCGTTCTACTCCCGGGCTTGGCACGGCTCTCCGCGCGCGGGTTCCGGGTGGGCACGAGGCGCGGATCGTGGTTTGGGGCCGGGGCGACGAGTCGAGCCAGGCTGAACGCGAGTCCGTGTGAAAGCCTTGCGGGAGAGAAAGTGAAGGCAGATCCGTGGGACCCCGGCCGGGGCGACAGAAGGTTCTTCGCAGAAGCCATAGTGAAAGTGGTTTTACCAATTCATTGTGTTTCCCCCCCACCTTCGTTGTAGAAAGCCCAGAGTTGTATCTAGTAGGAAGGGACGGGGAGGGGGGAAGGAAATAGAGGTAGGTGATAGGTGGAAATGGAGGAAGGAAGGAAATACAGATAGACGGAGGACGCACCATGCCACTTAGAGGTGGGGGCTTGAAACAGTTGGGACTTCTATGCCAAGCAAGGCTTGCTCATTGCCGGCTTACTGGCAAGTGAACTGTGAAGAAGCAAGGTCAAAATCAAGGAGCATCTGCCCGAGAAGCAGGAGCTTCATCTTGGTTTGAAAGCATCTTGAGATGTTGCAACCTCTTTACTGACCCTTTCCTTTAGGGCAAGGACCGATTCCCGCTATGGCAGCCCAGCCCATCCCAGTCTCAAAGCAGACCAGGGAGGTGGTGGGGGGTATCCCAACGGAGGTGGTGTGCACTGCCTTTGGAGCCACGGTCCTGGTAGTGGTGACCCAGTATGGAAAGATGGGGACTCTGGTCTCAGTGGAGCCTGATGCGGTAGCTGAAGGGATCAGCAGACCTTTGTGGACCACCAAAGTTCTCCTCGGCAAAGATGAGGTATTCTTCCTGTCCCGTGCCTACTTTACTTCACCTCCGAGGATCTTCCCTGACTTCCTTTCTCCTTTGACTTCCCTTGCTCTCTTGGGAGTCCGCCAGCTTTCTTGATGGCTTGGCCAGAGGGCCACATCATGGAGGAAGAAAGGGGTGGAGAAGGTGAAGTTGGGGAGAACTGTTCTCTAAGACAGGGGTCCTCAACCTTGGCAAGCCAAGCAAAGCTGGCTGAAGAATTCTGGGAGTTGCAGTCCACAAGTCTTAAAGTTGCCAAGGTTGAGGACCCCTGCTCTAAGATCTTCTTAACTTGCTTTCAGCCTCTTGTCCACATCTCCGCCAAGCATCTGGTGACCTCGGTGTCTCAGGAAGCTGGCAACAAGGGCGTTCTACTGGCGATGGCTCTGAAGGACAGAAGCATTGAAGGCATCCGGGCGCTGAAGGAACTCATCCACCGGTGCCGAGTGTGGTGACGGTGGGCCAGAAAAATTCTTTGGATGCCAGAGATACCTGGCTGAGGTTAATTTTGGTTTGGACGCAGACTGGATTGTTTACATTGAGGTGTCCGACCTTGGCAACTTTAAAACTTGTGGACTTCAATTCCCAGAATTCCCTAGCCAACATGGCTGGCTACTGGGGAATTCTGGGAGTTGAAGTCCACCAGTCTTAAAGTTGCCAAGGTTGCACCCCGCTTTTGTACACGTTAACTTTTTTTTTTCTTTTAATGACTTATTTTGAAGCTTGAAAATGAATATCTGTGGGTAAGCTGAGAAAAGAGGTGGATTCATTGTTACGTAAACATTCAACAATACCTGTTCCCAAGTTTGATGTTGTACCTTCCTAGAAATTAGCGCCAACAAATTTCACAGCAGGTTTTCCTAGTTAATTGTATTTTTCTGCTGAAATCCATGGAATTTTCAGTAGCTGAACAAGAGGCACATTTTTCCCAGCGGTAACGTTTAACCCGCTCCATTTTTTTCCTTACATTTCAGTTTTATAGCACATCGGAAATAGTTCAAATCACAAACAGTATTCAACTATCCTCCTATTGAGGGTTTCTCCTACACCCTTTCTCATTCTGAAAGCGACCCAAATAAATTCAGAATAATTTTGCTGCCATCTTCTGAAACTACAGTATTTTGTTCTTGCTTGATGAAAACAATAAAGGAATTGCAACATGTTTATAATAATCTTTGTCGGTCTAATTGATTCCTTAAATAAAAGTGAAAAGTATTGTTTCCACTCTAACCTGTTGATGATCATGTCTAGAATTCTGGGAGTTGAAATCCACACATCTTAAAGGGGAGGGGGGCAAGGCAGAGAAAGGCTGGATCAGACTGAAAGATGAAAACGTAACAAACTGAAATGATGACTTTAGAAATTAACATGGGAAGGGGAGGTCACATACCTGGACAAGTCTTTGCAGTTTTTCTGGCAAGATTTCCAGCATGCTTGGCCCTTACCTGCTTCCTAGGACTGAGAGAGAGGGACTGACCAAGGTCGCCCAGCTAGTGTCCAGCCTCTGGCCTTAATCTCTACTATCCTAAAGTGGTTCTCTGGGTTTAAGACTTTGAATGGGGTAAGCAAAGCTGGCTGAGGAATTCTGGGAGCTGAAGTCCACCAGTCTTAAAGTTGCCAAGGTTGGAGACCCCTGCTCTAGTCCATGGGCAGGCAACTATGGCCACTATATGACTTGTGGACTTCAACTCCCAGAATTCCGGAGCCAGGCTGGCTTAGGAATTCTGGGAGTTGAAGTCCACAGGTTGTAAATGTGCCATAATACCATCCCCTGCTCTTTTCCAACCCCTTGCCCCATATAGGAATTTGTGGCTTTCTTGGTTATGAGTGACACCATAATAGTGCCACTATTTGAGGGCCTGTCACAGAGAGGGGGGGGGGTAACCTATTCTCCAAAGCAACTGAGGGCAAGATAAGAAGCAACAGATGGAAACGAATCAAGGAGAGAGCCAACTTAGAACAAAGGAGAAATTTCCTGACAGTGAGAACAGTGGAATGGCTTGCCTTCAGAAATTCTGGGTGCTCCATCAATGGAGGTTTTCAAAAAGAGATTGGACAGCCATTTGTCCGGAAGGGTGTACGATCTCCTGCTGCAGCAGGGGGTCGGGCTAGAAGACCTCCAAGTTCCCTTTCAACCCTGTCATTCTGGGCTCAAAACTGTAGCTTGCAAACGAGATGGGCTGCATTCGCACGTCGGGGAAGTTCTCCAAGCGAGCCACAGAGCGCAGATTCGGCAGGCAAGCGGCGCAAATCCACCCCGCCCGTCCCAGATCACCTGGCAGGCGTCCCGGAGCCTGGGGAGGAGGGGGCGAAGGGGCGGTAAGGTAAGCCTGGCCGCCTCCCTACCCCACTGTGAGCTGGGCAGGGAGGGAGAGGGAAGAGGAGGAGTCTCCGGGGAAGGTGCTGCCGGGCAGCCGGCTGAGAAAGCAAGGAGGAAACGGCCGGGCGGCGCGCCAGGTGGGACGGCCGCTTCCTGGGCCGGAGAGCAGACAGGTAGCACAGGTAGGCAAGTGGGCAGGGAGGAGAAGTTGGCTTTGCGAGGCTCTCCGGCCCGGGGAAAGCGCAGGAGCGCGCGCAAACGTCCCGGCCGGCCTTCCCAGTCCAAATCTCGGGGTTCCCCCCTGGGAAGAAGAGGACTTGGCCACCGCAGCTTTCGCACCCCACGCCGGCCGGCTGGCTCCGGGATGCCGGGCAGGTGAGTTCCAGGCAAGGCTTGGGACGGGGACGAGCCTGGTGGGCGAACTCAGGACGCTCCGGGTGGGTGGAGGGGGCGAAGCCGGGAAACGGGGCGAGGTAGGCGAGGGGTTGGGCCAGACGAGCGAGAACCTTAATTTTCCACTGAATTGTAATCGGTCTGAGAATAATCAGGTGGGAAGCGTCAGGTAAAGTCGCCCACCTAGAGAAGACTCACCCCAGCCTTGTCTGCTTTTCAGAACCACGAAGGTAAACAGAGCCCCAGGAGCGAGGTAAGCACGTCTGCCTTCCGATTTTCCAAGGTTTGAAAGTTTTAATGTGCCTTTTTTATTTTAAGATTATCTGATTTATTACAAGAGGGGGGGGCACTGGCCATTAAGAGAAATGAGTCTTCTTAACACACGGAGACCGTTTGAAAGTACTGCTCGCTCTTTAAGGAACAGAGAAGACAGATAGATGGATAGATATGGATAGATAGATAGATAGATAGATAGATAGATAGATAGATAGATAGATAGATAGATAGATAGGTGGATTTAATTTTTAAGCTGCCTAACTTGCTATCAAGAGAGCAAGTAAGGTGCAGTACTTTTTTTTAAAGTATTTCTTGCACAGTACTTTTTTGAAAAAAAAATATTATCCCTTACAAAATAAACTGCAAAGTGTAGGTCTTGAATCTGGACAGAAGTGAGATTCATGTAGAAAGTTGCCCATCCAGCTCAGCTCAATCCAGTTTTATAGGTTGGGTTACCGCGCGATTCAGACAATTAAACACAATCTGCAGACCAAGGCACAAAAGGCTTCCACGTTAAAATCTCAGATGGCAAAACAACTGCAGATAGGCTTCAGATCCCATTTTTAATTTTATTTTATTTTACTTTTTTGTTATACGGGTTGCCCAGAGTTGTTTGAGAGAGGCTGGCTATATCAATTAAAGAATTTTTTTTTAAAAAAAACTGTACCATGTAGACATGGATAAGAATGTGGCATTAAGGACTCTCCCTGGCCATGTTTCTACAGCCCACAGCTAAAGAATGCTGTACAGAATTAACCTAGCAAGCAGATCAGGCTGAAAGATAAAATAATCCCACAGTCTGCATTCATACAATAGACTGACTAAAGTAAATTCCTCTGAGTTTGATAAGGTAGGTCCCACACAAGTACTGAGGATTATGGCGTTAGGCTGAATCCCAGTATTCTGAATTTCAGACTTCTGATTATGTGCCCTCTGGACCCAGAGCAAATATTTACATAAAATGATGTCTGTCCATCTCTGCATTCCTGTAGATATAATTTACTTCTGATATGGTCAAAAAGGTATCCATTGCTTTGAGGTTCCACAGAGAGGGTTTGGAAGATTAAATCAGAAAGAAAATTACATGTACCTTCGGCTGCCCTGGATGGTCTTACCTGAGCATAAGCCCAATGGGAACTGTTAGCGGTCACTTCTATGTAAGTGTAGTGTTGGGGGATCATGCTGCAAAGCCTCCTTATCTGCGTGGCTCTCTGTGTTAAGATAAGAATAGAAATGGGGTTTATTCAAATAGTGAGCCTAAAGACTTTAACAGAGCCTTTTTCAAACACATTGGCTTTAGCAAAGTAGTTTGAAATCCACCAGAGGAGTCCTGAAATCTGGAGTTTAGCAGGCACCTTTGATCTTAAAAGCCAAGCCAGACTGGACTGAGTTAGCACTTGAATGGGAGGCCTCTAGAACAGTGGTTCTCAACCTGTGGGTCGGGACCCCATTTGGGGTCGAATGACCATTTCACGGGGGTCGCCAAACCATGCTGTCCGCCATTTTTTTCCCTTTTCCCTAGCTGTTCTACTCCCTCTTATTGGTGGCCACACCCACTTGGGGGTCACCACAACATGGGGAACTGTATTATGGGGTCACGGCATTAGAAAGGTTGAGAATCACTGCTCTAGAACATCTTAGAATTTTGTTTGTTTGTATCCCAGCTCTAGTTTTACAAATAACTCAAGGTAGCAAATATATCAAATACTTCCTCTTCCTATTTTCTCCACCACAACCACCCTTTAAGACATTGCCTAAGGCAGGACTAGAACTGACAGTCTCCTGGTGATTGGTCTAAGGCAAGGGTCTTCAAACTTGGCCCATTGATGACTTGTGGACTTCAACTCCCAGAATTCCTCAGCCAGGCAGAATTCCTCAGCCAGGCACGTGTGCCTGGCTGAGGAATTCTGGGAGTTGAAGTCCACAAGTCATCAAAGGGCCAAGTTTGAAGACCTCTGGTCTAAGGTCATCTAGCTGGCCTCATGCCTAAAGCAGAACTAGAACTCACCGTTTCCTGGTTTCTAGAATGGGAAATACAAATTCCCTGCCAATGATATTGTACTGATGTTGATCCGAGAAATGGATCCAGGACCCATTTGAGCCAACTCGAAGGAGGATTTTTTTATATCAGCCTACAGGAATCCGGGTTAAGGGTTCACCGGGGCCAGTCCCTTCCCCGCCCCACATAAAACACTTAAAGAGTTTGCTTTCCAATGGTGCCAGGAATTATCGCTGCTGATTAAAGCAAGGAAGTGCTAAAGCAGGAGTCCTGCTCCAGGCTGTTAAGGAAGCCAGTTCAGCAAAGCTGGCTTGTTTGGCCAGTGACCCACTAAGCTCAGCCCTTCACTCTGAACAAACAGAGGCCTGGGGTGGAGTTCAGCCCCACCTGCTTTGCTCTTGGAGGAAGAATCCGGCTGACGGGAGGTGAGAAGTGGCCGCTGGCTCCTAAGGCACAGCACTGGCTGAGCGTGCTCTTGTGCTTGGCCGTGCACGTTGGCGAAAAGCTACACAACAGGTTTGGGGGGGGGGCCACGAGAGCCAGGGTGAGCGATGCACACCCTTCCAAAATTGCTCCCCATCTTGGCATGGGTGGCAGCGTGACTATCTCTGCTGCGAGAATAACGTCCAGAATACAGGAAGTGCTCGGCTTATGGCCAAAACTGAGACTGTGGGCAAACAAGGCAGTTGTGAAGCGAATCGGTGCCTGCTTGTATGATTTATTTATTTTTTTGTCATGGTGGTGAAGAAACACTAAAGGGAAGTGTGGAGAGGTTGTTCTGGAATAGGCTGAAGCTTGCTTGACCATTTCTTCTTCCAAACGTATCTGCAGAGACCCAGGTGACAAGTTAAAGAATTGCTCGCCTTTCTCCCAGGCAAATGGTAGTTCTCTTTATCCAGTTGGGTTTCTTGGCCTGGGCTCCCTCCTGCCACCCCAAAATTGGGGATTCGGGTGTGTGTGGGGGGGGGAGCAGATAAAAATGATTTTTAATAGCAGAAAAGGCAGGGAATCTTCTGGGCCCTTCAAACACTAATATTTTGTCACAGAAGCTTCCAGCATTCACAGTCCACTCCTTCTAGCACGGGTCTCTTTGGGTTATTTATTCTTTTCAAGTAGCTTTTAGTTCTTTCCCAGCTGGTAGGACTACTTTGTGTTCTTCCAAATGGAAAGCAAACAAGGAAGAAGGGAATGCTGTCGGTCCCTTCCGACTTCCTTTCCTTGCCTACCAGCTTGACCTCCGCAGGCTGGTTAATGTTTGATGTTGTGATAGTACCAGCTTGTACCTGGCTCCAAAGCTCCTTCCTTGGTCAGCTCCCCAACGGTCAGAGAGGAGCAAGTGTTGACTGAACAGGACATCTGAGCCTGGGGAGGAGTCTGGTGGTCAGCTGATGGCAGGAGAATCCGCACAACCTCGTGGCATCCTGCAATGTTGTGATTACTGGGGTTGAGCTCAGAGCTTCTGGTTGAGGCACTGCTCAACCAATCAAACACCCATTCATCCATCAGCTGGAGTTTCTCATCAGACCATTGAGTTCCTCTACTCTCTGCTTCTCCCTCCCTCCTCCTAGGAGTAGGGAGAGATGTATTTTTAGGCTCCCGTGTACTTGTAAGCATAAGACAACTGAAACTCTTGCACCAGCTACCACATGGGGGTGAGTAAGCGTGCGTCTTCCCCTGGAGAGTCTTATCCCGGCAGCTGAAAAGAGCATAAATAAAGGTGGTGGATCCATATCAAAGCCTGTGTGTGTGGAAAGCGCAGGAGACTGGCAGTTTATCAACCTGTCCTTCGCTTTGGAAAGAACGCTAGAAGCCTGGATCTGTCGAATAGGTAACAGAACACATAAAAACTTGGGTTAACTGGCAAAGCAGAAGGGATACGCTTGTAAGTAAGGGAGGTGGTGGACATTTCAACTGGCCCAGAAAAGGACTTTCTCTCTTTTAAAACAAGCGATCATTTTCATCGGTTGAAACGGTACGTTTTTGAGGCTCATCATGTCACCTGGATTGAAGCCAAATTAAATGTTGGGAATTAAATAAATAAAAAAATATGGAAAGAATAAAAAAAAAAGGATGGTTACCAGAGATGGCAAAATGAAATGTTTTAATCGGAGAAAATATATCTATTTTTGTTTCTACCTGGAAATTTATGCTTGAGATATATATAAAAAAATGAAATCTTGACTCTAGGATCTGCTGAATAATATGTTGGTATAGAAATAGTACTTGCTAAGTATGTAAAAGTAAAAAGTTGAGGCTGTAGTTTTATTTTATACTTTGCTGTGCTGAAAAAGTAGTTTTTGTATTTTCTTTTCCCTCTTTATCATACATTTCTTTCTTCTTTCTTTTTCCCCTCTTTATTTTCATTTGCAATTTATATTATCTTCTTAATAAAATAAAAAACTATGAAAAGATTTGAGTAGCGGTGATATCACCAGGTTAAATAAATAGCCCTTTATTCAGCCATGGGCTGGTCCATCTTTATGGTGTATATTCAGACAGAAGCTGGACTAGGATGTTTTAATTATTTCCTGCCTTCAGCTGAGACTGGGGCTCCTTCTGTCTTTTAGATTGTAGGATGAATAAATGAATCTCAGCAAAAGCATTTCTTAATTACAGATATACTGTAATTGGCTCATAACAGCTTGATTTGTTCATCATCCTTACACTGTAGGGAAACGGGCAACTTTTTTTTAATTAAAAAGGTTGCCTTTGCCCCTTTATTAAAAATGTAATTATTTTTAATAGAAGCCCTTAAAAATGGGGCAGCTGACTTAAAGGAATTATACTGGCCTGTCTTTTCAGGAAGAAATTTGCCATGCTTGCAAGAAGAAGAAAATTAGGGAGAGGTTTTCCAAGGAAATAAATTAGTGTTCTGCAGAGTGTCCTTTTCTTTTTAGAAGTCTTTGGTTTTAGTCACGTGAATCTTTCCAGATCTATAGCACAATCACTAGATGGGGAAATGTTCATAATGGTGCAAATTTTTCTAGATATGTGCCAGGTTGCAGTCTTAAAACCCAATTGATCCACTTGCTTTTCTTACAGAATCGCTATAAAAAGCAATTCTGTTCTGTTTTCCTAAAATGAAATGTAGGGACAGTTAACCGTGGAAGGGATAGGAAAAAATTAGGATTGTTTACGGAGAAGGAATAACACCTCGGGGCTGTTTGGGCTGAAAAAGCAGATGGTGTGGTAACTTTAAGCCTCTTGAGAAAAGATTTATTCAGATTTACAGAATGTCTATATAGGGGCTGATGGCTTGTCTTTGGCCAGCCAAGATGGGGGGTGGGCAGAATTTACTACAGCTCAGCTAAGCAAACATTAATAAAATGGAGCAGCTGGTCTTTATCTACTATAAAGTTATTCTTGTAAAGAATGCCTTTCTTGGAAAAAATTGTGTGTGTGTGTGTGTGTGTGTGTATGTATGTATGTCTTAATTCCTAGAATAGAAGGTGGGAAAATGTAAGGAATGGATAGCTAAAGAGGGAAACTTGACAATCCAAGGGGCTCTCTGAACACGCTCCCTAAAAATACAAGTATATTATTAGTTTGATGGTACGAAAGGGATGCCCAAAATACCCCAGATATACAAAACCCTACACCCATTTAGTCCTGGAAACTTGGACACATAATTATTTTGCTTTGCTTGGAGTTTGCAAACAAAGAGTTCCCAGCACTAAGAAGAGAGATGAGGGCTGCAGACTTGAAAAGATACCTGTGCTCCTAATATCCATTGAGTTGTCTTTGTGGGCACTCTCAAAAAAAGAAATTGTAGTTTCTATTCTGGCAAAACTCAAAGGAACAGGAGGTTCCCCCCCCCCTTTTAACCCCCAGCAGTTGGGAAATATAACACCAATTGCTAATCTTTTTAGCAACATGTGACTTTCTCATTTAGATATACAGGATGTCTTATTAATGTAACTGTCAAGGCTGTGCAATGCTTTGGAGCCCTTGACTGTGGCTCTTTAAAGCAGCTGCCTCATTGGCAGTTGCAGTAGACTGTGTGTAAAACGTGTGCTGTGTTTTGCTCAGAGTATTAAAGACAGGTATTTTTAAGCCCTCTCCATAGCGAGAAAAAACAGGATGCAGTTCAAACAGGAGCGTTTCAACTAAAACAAATATAATCCTGCCTTTGCTAATGAGATGGAGAAGGCATTCCAACAAGGCAAAGATGTCGGCCTCTTCAAATCTTTGCCAGACACATTTACTGGATGATGGGATAATTTTAAGCTTCCAGCTGTTACATCTGCAATTGTGAGGGCTATCCATTTCGCTAACTCCAAGCCAAGAAATTTGCAGGAGGGTGACCAAACTCACCTTGCACCCTTTTTGAGTAGGCTTTTATAGATTGGAAGTGAATTCCAAGTCTCTCTTGCTGGGAAAGTTTCCTTGTTGACCGGGCACCAATCTCTTTTGGACCAGCCTATCCCATAGGCTGGAACTGCCAAGTGAACTCCTCGGAGAAGGGAAAGAACACTAGCAGGTGGGGTCAAAAGAGATGAAAAAGCGGATGGGGGAGATGAGCAGGCTGGTCCCAAGGCTGGGCTCAAACACGTCATCAGTTCCAGAGTTGTTGCGCAGCCACCAGAGCTCAACTCCTGTTCCTGACTACTTGAGCCTGATAGAAGAACGTAGAAGGATGTGATGAATAATCTGCTTCTATTCAGCCCTTCACCTTGATCTTTCCTCCCAATCACAGCAGTTTTCCTGGTGCGGTGCTCCTCCCTAATACATTCACCTTTGCTCCCTCCTCTCCAGCAGATGAACACCACGACACACACCAACTGGTCTTCTCCCGCCCCGGAAAAGCTCCTGACATCCAGCATGGTTGCTACCTCATTCCATTTCTTCTTTCCAGCGATGGCCTCCAGCCATTTAATTGTGGAGGACGGTTCCCAGCTAAGGGCTGATCAGAATCACTCCCAGGAGACTCAGTCCCTCTTTTTGACTACATCCACAGCAAAAGCCATCTCAGGTCTCTTTGTCTGGACAGCGCTGATCCTTACTTTCCACCAGGTAGGTGGCAGTGCTGCACGGGACCTCTTGGACTCCATCTTTCCTGCTGGTTGGGTAGGTAGATGGGAGAGGCAGTAGTTCACATCGGCAAGGCATCGGTTTGGGGAAAGATTGTTGAAAGCCATGGCTGCCTGATCAGGGTATGTGGAGTCTTGCTTCTTATGTATCAGATAAGGCGATCTGGGTAGAACTTCTCCGTAGCCTCTAGTGGTCACGCAGGATTTGAATTGTGGTATTGTATGTTCAGATGTTTAGTTTAGTTTTGCTTAGAGAGAGGAGAAAGTGTTTTCAGCTTGGAAACAGAGATCCCGGGTGTTGATGGTTTTTTGACTTTTCTTATTTTTATATATATATTTATTTATTTGTGGGGAGGGGGGCTAACATCATATCCTACAGGCTTCTTACCTAGTAAAGCAGTTCAGCCTTCCAGCTTTAGTAGGGTTTTCTTTGGAGGTAAGTCTTTATAGGCCTGCAAATTAGCATACGTGTTTCTCAACCTTGGAAACTTTAAGATGGATGGACTTCCTCTCCCAGAATTCACCAGCCAGCTGATTTGAAGTCATGCCCATCCCCGTGACAAGTTCTAACCCTCTTTATCTTTCCTGGCTGCTTGTTTGCTTGTGGTTTCCACCCAGAGTCTGACCCCTTTAGAAGTAGGAAGTGGCAGAACAGTCCCTCCTAGTATTGTAGGGGTGAAACTTGTGGCCCAAGCATCTTGGGGAGGCCAATTGCCCATTGCTGCTTAGAGCCCAGAAGCTTTGGGAGACCTGAAGCTTCACCTCATGCCAGGCTGAAGGCCACGCAAGCAGATATGTGTGGTATTTGTGACTCCCAGCTCCCAACATTCTTTTTGACTGGTGACAAACGGGCTGAGATGAATACAGGCAACCCCAGCCCCATACAGCTAGCTAGAGCACATTGATCCTTACTGGCTCTGTGTGTTTTTCTCCCTGGAAATGCTACATCTGATCCTGTGTTGTGTGTCTTCCCTTTTTTTTCTTTTCTCTCAGATCTTCCTGCACCTGAAAAATTACACCATTCCCAACGAGCAGCGCTACATCATCCGGATTCTCTTTATTGTCCCCATTTATGCTTTCGATTCCTGGCTTAGTCTCCTGCTTATTGGCAGCCACCAGTACTATGTTTACTTCGACTCGGTGCGGGACTGCTATGAAGGTGAGCCGGGATTCACGGCTCTCCTGGAGAACTTAGTGCCCCAGAGATGGGTGTGGATGTAGGCATTCGGTCATAAATTGAGCTGAAGAGTCCAAGTTCAAAGGCAAAATTTTACACAATCCTTCCAAAGTGTTGCCAGGAAGGACAGCCTATTTGTAGAGACTTAGACATGCATGGATTAAAGGCAGTCATATTTAAAATCTTGTAAATTGGTCACAATTTCCACCATCATATTGAGTTCTATGAATGTTTGAGAGCCAGTCTGATGTGCTGGTTAAGATGCTGGTCTAGAAGCCACGAGGCTATGAGTTCTAGTCCTGGCTTAGGTAAGGAAGTCAGCTGGATGACTTTGAGCCAATCACCAGGAGACAGTGAGTTCTAGTTCCATCTTAGGCATGAAAGCTACCTGGGTGACTTTGGGCCAGTCCCACTGTCAGCCAAGCCCATCTTACAGAGTGTTGTGGGGAAAAGAGGACGAAGGAGGGTTATACAAGTTTTGCTGTCTTGAGTTACTTATCAAGTAATAAAGGTGGGATGAGCATCTAATAAATCTCCCTTTTTTGCAGCATTCGTGATTTACAGCTTCCTGAGCCTCTGCTTTGAATATCTTGGAGGGGAAAGTACCATCATGGCGGAAATCCGAGGGAAGCCCATTGTGTATGTTGATCACCACTTACTGATATCCATCTCTTGCTTACAGTTGGGAGTATTTCACACCCAACATAGCCTTAAGGCCCCAGGCTTGGGCTGATGTATGGCTCTGCTTTTTCTTAGCTCTAGTTGTCTCTATGGAACTTGCTGTCTCCAAGGGATGTCTTACTCCATTGGGTTTCTTCGGTTTTGCAAGCAGGTGAGGAACATCTCATAGAACAGAGCTACAGCTGATCAGTTCTCCATCGTCCATGTTACTTCCAGGGAAGCCATTATCTTTATCCCCCCCCCCCCAAAAAAAAACTTGTTTCAGTTTCAGTTCATTTTTCCCAGGCAAAAACTTGCAGGTTAATGCTGTCTGTTGTGTGAAATATTTGCATTTCTCCTGCCTTTATAGGCATAGAGGTAATTGGAGACAGATGCTCAGACTGTGGAAATGCGATCTTAGCCTGTAGATTCTGTTGCTTCCCTGGTGGCTGGACACCAGCTTTCATCACTCCTTGCAACAGCCATGGGTGATAGGGGCATTTGTGAAAGCCGTAGTAGACTGGAGCGTTTGTGGGGGATCTCAGATTGCCCGTCCCAGGTTGGACTAAAACTTGAGGTCTGGATTAAGTGATTAGGTGGCAACAGAATCACAGAAGCTGGGTGGTTTCAATGGAGCCATTTCCTTCTAGGCCACCTTGCAGTTCTGCATCATCAAGCCGGTCATGGCTATCCTCACCATCATTCTCCAAGCGTTTGGGAAATACCACGATGGCGATTTCAAGTGAGAATGGAGGGAAACGGGGAGGAAGGGGAAACTATGACAGGCATGGAAAGGGAATGCTTCCTAACGAGGAATTGTGCCTCTTCCAATGCTTTGCTTTCCAGCATCCATAGTGGATACCTTTATATTACCATCATCTACAACTTCTCGGTCAGCCTGGCCCTCTATGCCCTGTTCCTCTTCTACTTCGCCACCATGGAGCTTCTGAGACCTTTTGAGCCAGTCCTGAAGTTTCTCACCATCAAGGCTGTCATCTTCCTCTCCTTTTGGCAAGGCGAGTCGTTCTACTTCCTGTCACGGGTAGGGAGGATTGGCACTGCCAGGCGGAAGGCCTGAAATGTGAGACTTTGGTTCTCCATTAATGAAGTCATCATCCTGGGCCAACCGTCTTGTATCCCACTGTTTCTCAACCTTAGCCATGTTAAGATGGGTGGACTTTTAACTCCCAGAATTCCCTATCCCTTGGAAAATAAATATTAAATGAAACATGAGCATGCAAGAAATGTTGGCTTGTTCGAGTAGGGCTCTTATATTTTTGGGGATGTTGATCTTTCCTGCTCTAAGTAGAGAAAAACTAAGGTTGGAGCAAAGAGGAGCAGAATAAAATATTTCAGAAGAGAGCATAAATGCTGCAGTGGGATTTTTATCCTTTTGCTTTTCCTGATGTGTTTTATCAATACAGTATAAAAATCTTGCATTTAAAACAATACTCAGTGGGATCTTGTGCTTCAGAAGATTTCTGGTGTGGGACAATTACGCAGGTTCCTTCAGACGTTTCCTGGATCTGTGGAAAATCCACTAGTGAACTCTTGCTGATGCTTTGCAACCATTCCTATTTTGCAGGGATGTTGCTGGCCATCTTAGAGAAATGTGGGGTCATCCCAGAGGTTCAGATCATTGACGGGAAGACGGTGGGAGCCGGCACTGTTGCGGCTGGCTACCAGAACTTCATTATCTGTATCGAGATGCTGTTTGCTTCCATCGCTCTCCGTTATGCTTTCACCTGCCAGGTGTACCGAGAGAAAAAGGAAAGTGCCACAGGTAATTTGATTTAAGGGGACCTGCTCCTTCAGTTATACAAAATGTAAGCAGGGAGAGGAAGGGACGAGCAAGCAGAAATGTCAGCTGGTATCTTCTTTCTCTAGGGTCAATGAGCAAGAGGTTTGTGTTTACTTCCCTTCCATTTCTCAAATTTGATTAAAAACCATTTTTCCCCAGTTTCTTTCCAAAGAGAAGGTAAGGTAGGTGAAATGAATGATGTTGGGAGCATGGTCTAACTTATTTAGGGAGAAGAAAGACAGCCAAAGGAAGATGGTGGGAATAGTATGCTTCCATTGTAAAATGCTCTCCCAAGCAACCAATTGCCTCCTCAGCTTCCTACACATCCCTTAAAGTCGGGACGTTCTCTTATGGGGCTTGTCCATTTTGTGCGATATAGTTAGGCATATTTCAGCAAGATGAAAAATAGTGTACGATGAGTTCAGCTCCAAACAAACCCAAGAGAAATATGAAATTGTTAAGTCGCTGGAAGATAAAGTAGAAAAGGTCATGATTCTTCTGCAGGAGTAATCAACCTCTGAAAACCGTCAAGGCAAATTTGTTTTTCTTTGGTGCCTTCAACCATCCACCTTCCTGGCAGGCTGGTTTGTGCAAGTGCAGCTTCCTTGAAAAGAACATCCACTTGTCCGTTGATTCTCTTCTGCTCTCTCCTCTTTTTCTTCTAGCAGGTCTGGCCCCATTGCAAAGCATTTCCAGCGGGCTGAAGGAAACGATGAGTCCTCAAGACATCGTTCAAGACGCCATCCACAATTTCTCCCCAACCTACCAACAATACACGCAGCAGTCCATGCAGGAGACGGGAGCGGGGCTTGGACAGAATGGCCACGTGAGTCCTCCAGTAGATACCTCACAGAGCAAGAAGAAGAGCCTTGAGAAAAGGATGCTGATCACTTCTGATGATGAATTGTAAAGAGGCACCTTGAAGGAAGGAGAATTTGAGTTTTTGAGGTCTTCTTGCCTCTCTCCAGCCCAACAGCTGTCAATCGAATCACACTACGTTGTTGAACAAAGCAATGGAGGCATCTCATTCTTGTTCTCAGCTGGCTATCGGAAGACCCTACCTAGGCTGACTTCCCAGATACAGCCAGGCCTATCCTACTTGCTTGTTGCCATGGCAAACACATCCAAGAGATTTTGATACACTTGTTGCTGGTCCAAACACCTGGCAGCCTAGAAGACTGAGGGAAACAGAATTTCTCAGTGGACGCAGCTCCTCACATTCCCAATGCATGGAAATAATGCTGATTATTGGCAAAGAAGGAACAAGGGAATGTAGGGATGGACAGAATTGGATGAAATCAACATTTTCATCCAGCTATTGCAGCTCAGTCCCACTGAAACTGGATTCCCATTATTATCATCCTTTTTTGTGGATCCAATCCACTGGGTCAAGAATCAATAGCTCAGAGCCCGAGAAATAAAAGCACTTTTTTTCTTTCCAACACAACGTGCGGCAACAGGATGAGGAATTATAGCACTAGATTCCTTTACAAACTTGCATTGAGGCTGTAAAGCATCTGATCCTAGAATGCAGAGGTGTCAGAGGTAAATCTTGAAAGAAGAGGTGTTGCATTACATTGAAAGCTCTTTTGGTGAACCACTTCAATGAAATAGATGAAGATGAGGACATCTGCTTTTCGAATGACTGAAAAACCACGTCAGCAGAAATACAGATAATGGAGGGGATTTTTTTCCTTCTTTTTATGGCCCTGTAATCCTTTATCAGGGTGGAATCAGGGCATGAACGGAGCTGAGCATTTACTGGCTGGATGCCCTTCCTGACACCAATGCAGAGTGCACAGTAGATATTTTCTCTTTGTGCCCTGATAAACATCTGTTGCTACCTAGGACTGAACTCTCAATCTCCCAATTGTGAGTTTAGCATATGCATCTCTAGGCCACTGCACCACTCGAGATAATTGAGGGGAATATTAAGGCAAAATCAGAACCAATTAAAATTATTCCAGGGGAGATTTGTTTCTGAACACCTATATAGCAGGTTCACATAGGATGAAGTAGATTTCTCCCAGATGGTTTTGGACTTCATCTCCCATTCTTTCCAACCAGCATAACTTTGGAGTAAAGGCTGAAGTGTGTTAAGAGGTTCTCTGTGGCTGGTGTACTTCCCCATGGCATGGCTGTGTTGATCTATTGTACTTCTTCCTAACTGGAGGGTCCAGGTTCCCGAGCGATGGCTATGAATCTCGTGTCAATCTGTACATTTCAAAAATTTAAATTATAAAAACATTTGTAGTATTTTTTCCCCAGTGCTGTCTAATGTTGACAAATTAATCAGAGAACACATCAATTTAAAAGTCATTCGGGTTGAATCTGGGATGGCTAATCATTGGTGCTATAGTTTACTTAATTGAAAACAAAGGAAGTATCACACTGTTGACATAAGGCAGAGGATTTTTACAGCTGTCAAACAGCAAGGAAAAACTCTTTGGTCTATGCTGCAGCTGGCATGCAGCTCCCATTTATAATTCAGCCCCCCTGATGTAAGGAATGTCATATTTCTCTCATCTTCTGCAATCTTAAGATCTGTTTTACACAATCTAGAATTACTTCTGTGGCTGCCTTTTATCTTCAGACAGACAGCAAAACTCTTGAGCATTCACATCAACCCTTCTGAAAAGTTGACTTGATTTTGACCAGCAGCCAAGTTTGATAATCACCATATGATACTTTTTATAGGCAAATATAGTAATGTGACACTTATTACTTATTACATTAAAATATTCCCTCTGTCACCCACCAGAGGGGGTCATAAGCTTGACTATTATTAGACCAGTCTTTTTTCCAACTGTGAGGTTGGATTTCAACTCCCAGAATTCCTCAACTAACATGAAGTCCACCCATCATAAAGTATGCTGGCTGGGGAATTCTGGGATTTGGAGTCCCTTCCTCTTAACATCTGCCGAGTTAGAAAAAAGAACCACTGTACTAAATCAGAGATCTTAAAACCTAGCAAACTTTAAGACTTGTGGACTTCAGCTCCCAGAATTCCTCAGCATAGCTAAAGTCCACCAGTTTTAAAGTTGCCAGATTTGGAGACCCCTGTACTACATAAAGCAGTGGTATACTACTACTACTACTACTAATAATAATAATAAATATGCTAGCTGGCTATCAACGACTCTGATCATAGACAAGATCCAATCTGAGACCAGAAGATGCTTTATTGGAAAGCTTACCAAAAAGCCACAATGGTTGCAGCTTCAAATTTACAGCAATAAATTAAAACAAGGGAAGAGGTTTTCAAATGAAAATCAATTGGACGCACACACACACGGACGCACATCATACGCCTCACAGGACAGGCACCCACATTACTTGATATGTCAATAATTTATTTCATAATAAAAAAGCAACACAAAAATAAATACCAAAACAAAATTAAGTTTGCAGAAACCACAGAGCAGAACGGTCTTGTGATTAGAGCTTTTGGATCTGAGCTGCAAAAATCCAGAGAAGCAAAAATAAAAAAGAGAGAGAGATACAGAAGACTCTTTGCTGCCATCTGAGTTTTTTGCAGCCCAGATCTGGAGCCATATATGTGAATTTTATTTTATTTTTTAAAAGAAGTACAATTTTATGATGTGAGGAAATACTAGGATCAGCCAACAACAATTAAAACACGCTAAATTTCTAAAGCATGTAGTAACAGAAAAAAAGGGGGCAGGGGGGAAAATAATCCATATTGTAAGAAAAATTCTTTCCTTAAAAATTAAATTCCTCTGATTTTGATATAGGCAAGTGCTTCATTTTTTATATACACCATTAAGATGCAATCTCTTATTTGATTTGACAGAGGCGCTGCCCAAATCAACTTTGGGCAGCTTGCAACTTAAAAACAAACAAACAACTGGAATAAAAACAGGAAACAATTCCCGTCGGTTAGGGAGAGTCACCACTTGGCTGCTGTGCATTTTTGGTATCCAAATGCATCCTTCCAGGCTCATGTGTAAGCCAAGTTAATCTGCTTTCACATATTCCAGGATGATCACGGGTCTTGTGAGACCAGAGGCTGAACCAACCTGAGAATTTTCAGTCATATCATCCATGGGAGAGAGATTTTTTTTTTTTTTAAATGAATCTCTGCCTATAAAAAAAACCCCTAGGATCTAAGAGAAGTGCCAAGTATTGTTTGCATATAAAATACTAGTTTATAATATGCCAGGAAGCTTTACTTTATCCCCACATTAGCATCATTTAAATCAGTATTTTTCAAAATTGGCCACTTTAAGATGGGTGGACTTCAACTCCCAGAATTCCCCAGCCACCATGGCCAGAATTTCCTAGCATGGTATGGCTGGCTTGGGGAATTCTGGGAGTTGAAGTCCCCCTATCTTAAAGTGGCCAACTTTGAAAAACATTGAAGCCACAGTATGCTGGTTTTCCCTGTAGGCAGTGGGATTCCCCCACCCCCAAAAAACTTCTCAGGGAATTAAATAGCAGGAAAGGGAGAAGTGGCAGCTGAATGAAATGGCATTTTTTTTTTAAAAATGTGCATTTCTTAAAGGCGGCAGTGGTTTTGCACACAATGTAGGGCTGTGTTTCTCCCCAAAGCTTCACGGTGATAAGTGTCCCTAAAGAGGGGGAGGGGAAGAAGAGAGTGAAAAAAGGCGGATTAACTGCTTTCTAGCTCTCTCAGGATGATGGATGGGGTGTTGTACCCCTCTTTCAGTCCTTCCATCCTTCTGGAAGGGGAATTGTGGACTTTGAGCATCCCTAGATGCAGGGGTCTCCAGCATTGGCCACTTTAAGACTAGTGGGCTTCAACTCCCAGAATTGAAGTCCACAAGTCTTAAAAGTGGCCGAGATTGGCAATCCCTGCATAGAAAGCAGGCACCAATTCTTAGGTCCCTCTTGTCCTATGTTTTTTTGTATATAGATTTAAATAAGATAGCCAACAATATTACACATATCTCTTACAAAAAAAACCTGTATGATAAAATGTATATAGTTATGTTATATATATATAATCATATATATATATATATATATATACACACACAGTCACACACACATATATCTGTATCTATATGCATGCCTCTCAAATATTTCCAAGTGGCCCTTAAATTGATATCCAATATGGATTACCTACCATGACTATGGTATCAACAGCTTTTAATTCTGATTTAAGCCTTTCTACGCCTGATTGCAAGGGAAATGGACACCAGATGCTTTTACCCCACAGAAGCTACTCTCTGTTCTCAAAAAAGCAGCAAAGATGGCTGCTTTTGGAGATCAAGATGACTCCTTCCTTTAGAGGTGGTTTTCCCCTAACCAGAGGGTTAGCCCAACTATCATCTCGTCCTGTGCAACGGCCTCATCGTCTGATCAGCCATCACTTCCCCTTCAATGCGCCACCAGCATGGGACAGGGGTAGCCGAGGTATTGGCAGCTGCTGGGAAGAAAGTGCAAAGATGGTGGTCAATGGAAAGTGTGAGAGGCCCTAACCACAACAGAAAAAAACTGGTGCAACTCTCTAGGGATAAACCCATTTATCCAACGCAAGGCCACCACAGATGGTGCTAACCAACTCTACAGTTGGCGCTCCTTTAGACACAGTCAGAATTTCAATGGGTCTAGTTACCAGAGCATCTCCCATCAACTTCTTTCCAGGTCCGTTATTGCTTGTCCACCTCATAAAACTATGGGGTAGAGGAATTCGTCTGTCACAAGGAAGTGCCACTCAAAAATGGGGGACCTCTTCTGGTGCTGATCAAGGGTTGCCCATCCAACACCAGAGATGAGGAGAACCTCAGCTCAGCATAGCAAGGGGAGGCCAAAGCTAGACTCAAGAGCTACCACTAGCAGGATACTCAGCCAATCCAGAAAGAGCACTATTATAATTTAGGATGGTGGAGCAGCCTCCTCCATCAATAGTCCATTTCTTCCTCAGATGTAGCAGCTTTCAACCAGGAGCTAGGAACACAATGACCATTGTTGACTAAGGGCCAACGATAGCTGTAGTGAGACGTATTTGTGGGACACCAGGTTGGGGAAGGCACCTCTAAACATTATTCCATCTTTGTGGAACCTCAGCTAACTCGCCCCTCGTTTCCCAGAGTTCAGCTTCCAGCTGGCCCTGGAGGGGAGAGGATGCAAACCTTTCCGACATTCTTATGCCCATTCGGGCCATTGGCATTTATTTTCTGAAACTCAGACAGTGCAATCTAACCCCTTCCTCTGCGTTAAGGATCCAGGAAGCTCGCAGAGAACCCAGGGTATTCCAAAGGACATTTTAAGAGAAAAATAAGATAAAGCAACTAACTTGTTTTCTTCCTCAAACTTTTTGCGAGGGAGTCCAAAGCAGCAAGGATAAACAGCAGACATTAACTTGTCTTCAAGAGGATTAGGGGAGGCTGGAGGATGACCCCCGCTTATGAGTTAATCTGAAGCCAACGATTTGTGATCTGGCACTGACGAAGTTAGCCCCCCCCCTCGCCACTAGACTACTGAACGGCACAGAAGAGCGTTAAGTGGTAAGACGTGTGCATATGCCGAAGGTGTGATACAAGATTTGTGCTGTCCGTGCACCCAATACCACTAGGACTATATTCACAGTGTTAGTAATTTCCATTCAGGATGCACTTACCCCCCAGCACCTATACTGAAGTTAAAAGCCAGCTACTCTTTCTTATTTGCTTTTGAGGAAGCTTTTATGGATGCACCAGAGAAAAGAGGTCACAATCTACCAGTATTAGCTACAGGGGAACAGAGGTGGGAGTTTTAAGACACCCCAAGGAAACACCACAGGAACTAGGTCTTCAATTCAAATCCAACCACAATAGAGGGGAAGCGTCTGACAACACGGGGGAATGCAAACATGTAAGACCCCTGCAACAGAAATCAGGACTGGATCACTACATGATGGGGGTGAGGCAGAACATCTGGACGGTACCACCAGGTAAATGTTGCATGGTGGGGCTGCTCAGGAGCTGTGCCCCTCCACCCAGCTTCCAATACAAAATTGGAATTTTATCTCTGCTGGGTTTGCTTCAGCCAAGCAGAAGGGGGCAGCAATTTTACACCTTCGGTTTTCACATTGGAAGTTTGAGACCTCTTTAATCTAGAAGCCTGACGAAACTGCTCAAAAGAACTTTGAAAGGGCAACTTACTCACTTCACAACTCACAGTTCCAAGCCTCATTTCCTTTCTCTTCATCGTTGCCTTCAGCAACCCTCACTGACAACCCAACGCTAACCATCATTCATTCCTCTGACACCTCATTTTTTGCACACATACAAACAGCTGCCTACATCCCTTCTTCTCACCCTGTTGACGAGCTCTGATTTTGTCCCTGTTCCTCAGAACTACGAGACCCACATCCCACTTTAACTTGTCTCAAAAAAAGGTACCAACTTTTAAACCTTCCTGTGATCCTCCACATAATTCGTGTCTTCAAGCTTGTTGAGCATTATCTTAAGGAGCCCATTTCCTTGCAGGTATTTAGACCTAATTCTTTCTGCTTTTTATTTTTGACATCTCTTGATGTCAAAGAGCACCAAAAGAAGGGGGTAACGGCAGCAAAAATGTTACGGATAAGGCTGTGGGTTGAATTCATATTTCTTTTTGAATCTTCCTTGTCCAAAAAAACCCCAAACCCCACATTTTTTCCGGCATGTCTTTGATTTATAAGCCTTTCAAGTTTCTAAGTCATGCTGATTCAAAGGCATCATTTTATAGCACTATCCTTTACTGTAAGTTCCTCTTCTAGTAAACTATCTTTTTACCCCACAATCTAGCCACCAAGTCCAGAACCCACATTGCCCGTTTTTCTTAAGTTTCCCATTTTTTCCTTCCTGCAACGCTGTAGAACCTGGATGACACAGGCTGAAATGTATTGTTTGGAAGCCACACAACCACATTAAAAAGGAAATCCAATTCACAGGCACATCATGGGAAGCAGCTTCAGTGAAATTTTTGCATTGTAGACGCTGTTCCATTTTGCTGGGCCATCTGACCGGGACTGAGCAATACCAGGGACCAGACAACGAGGTGAAAATTCATTCACGAAGGCTTTCTGAATTTGGAGAGAAAAGACCTCAGGCTATGAAATTTGGATGCAGTACCTGTTCCAAAATCCCGATCACCCACAACCTATAAAGATAACTATGATGTGGCTGCTTTTTTTCCTAACTAGAGGAAGAGAGAATTTCTTTTTTTTCCCTATTTTGCCATCAGGACTGATGATTCTACCATGTTATCTGTCTTAAATTTTCCTTTAACACACATTCCTTCAATACCTCGTGTCAACTGGGGCCTAAAAGAGACCCCAAGGAAGAGCTGCGCAAGACCCCTCGTCGGATTGCTGGGGCTTGATACGGAATTTCAATTTCAGCCCCAAAGGGCTTACTGAACAAGAGGTAAAGCAGCCAGTTAAATTCCTCTTCGAAGAGTCTGCCACCAGGTGGTTTGCTGGCTCTTTTTGGGGGGGAAAGACGGACGTCGTCTGATTCGAGAGAAAAGGCAGGCGGGCTCTGTAAAGTCCAGCCAGGCGGTGAGTTCTCTCTCCCCTTGGACATTAGGATGCTGCCGAAAACGGCACGGAGCTGGAGGAGACTTCGGTGGACTTCACAATGGTGATCACGCTGGTGGTGGCCACTTTGCTGGGGGTGATGGGGCCGCGGGCCACGGTGCGCGCAAAGGTCTGGAGGGCTTCATACTTGGAGCGCAAGGCGTCCAGCTCCAGTTTCATGCTGCGGTTCTCGCGAGCCAGCTTGGCCACTTCCTGCTGAAGCTCCACCCGCTGCCTCTCCAGTTCCTCCTTCTGCGTCACCCGCTTGATCCGGCAGCTGGCTGCGTAGCCCCGGTTCTTGAGGGTGCGCCGCCGCTGCTTCAAGCGGATCACCTCCTCTTTCGTGAGACCTCGCAGATGCTGGTTCAATTCCCGCACAGACATCGAGACGAGTTCATCGTCGCTCAGCACCGCGGCGTTTTCTCCCGACTCCTCCTTGACCTAAGGACAGCGACATGACAAAACTCATGATTATGACACACTAGGTCAGGGGTCTCCATACTTGGCCACTTTAAGACTTGTGGACTTCAACTCCCAAAATTCCTCAGCCAGCATGCACTGTAACTCAGGGGTGCAAAACTCATGGTTGCCCCTCCGTGACCACCAGATCATCTACTAGGAAGTACTTTGTGTGGGCTGCCCATAGAATCTCCGAAAACTCCAATGAGTTCAACATCCCATTCACTGGCTCAAGACCAGCCAGTAGGAATGAATTGGGCTATTTTTAGAATTTTGAGTTAGAATCCAAAGGAAGCAAAACCCGAAGTTACATTTTTATGTTCACGTTCATGAGATGTAGTAACTGTGACTCAAAACGATATTTTGTGCCTGTAACTTCCCTCTTAGCAGTAATGGGATTCAAATAGGTGAACAACCGGTTATCTGTGTGGATGCCGCTTCCGGAAGTCCATTCTGGGCCTGGGCAACCAAAAATTAGCTACTGGTTTTGCCAAAGCGGTGCGAACCAGCTGAATCCTTCTTAGCCTCCCTTTGGAGTATCATCCTCACTTCTAAAAATATTGCTCAGTGTTACAGTTATTATGATTTTGAAGAAGTCGATATTATTCCATAACTGACTTGCTTCTGTAATTAGCACAAATAGCCAACTGTCAGCCTTCTCTGGTAGACCAGACAGGAAACATGATCTGATGAGCTAATTTTACTTTATTAGAAGGCTACATTAACAGAATCGTGCAAATCTGAAATACAAATAACCCACCGTCTCTTTTTCAGTCTGAAAAGCTAGGGAGATTCTTTTCCGAGTCTCTTTCTCTACCCGTTATACAGTTGTGGGCTCTGTGCTCTCCTGACTGTTTACAGCATCTCTTCCCCTCCCCCCCCCCGGCTCCCCATGATAATTCCCACACTACAGTACCCCAATTCTCTGATGAGTATTTGTACCACCTCAATGCTTTAAAACATCAGAATGTGACAATATGTGACCACTCAGTGATAAGGCGCATTTTTTTTTAAAGATTACTGCAGACAGAAAGGAATTTTGTAGTGAGTGGCTTAAATATTTTTTTCTTACCTGGAAGTTAAAGTCAGGAGAAACAGTTTATTTGACAACTGTGCTCAACCTAGGTTGAACCATGAATTTTAAAGAAGTTCAGCTGAGTATACTGTTCATTACCTCCAAACCAAAGTTAGAAATATCATGCTTTTTTTTTTTTTTTTTAAAAAAGTAAAGCCAAATAAAGCTGTGGTCTTTAAGAAAGACACTCTCATATTTTACTTTTGGGGCACAGACTGACTTTTGGAAAAGAGGTAGATAAGAATAGCGGAAACTCAAGGGTTGGCATCTTGAACAGTTCTCACTGAAGATGGAACTTTTTTTTTTTTTTAATCCAACTAAGCCTTACCTTAAATGCTTTGTTTGGCTTTGGATTAGTCGTCATAACCTGGACACAGTCACCTGGACAGAATTGCTCAGAAATTGCAACTGGAGAAAAAAGGGGAAAAAGAAAGAGAGAAAACAGGATAAGGATCAGCTCAGAGAAAAGAAAGATGCATTTTCATTCAGGCACCGGTACCTATCGCAGCAAGGATATTTCACACCGTTTCACAGAGGTTGCTTTTTAAAATCTCCCTTCTAAACTTTATCTCCCCAGCCATTCAATCCACCCACAATGTGGACGCTGGACCCAAAAGGACGCTGGACTTACATAGGAATGTTCTCTCCTAAGCAGGAATCCAAAATTTCTCTTGCTAAACTAAGGCGGTTGCTAAATGGGTTTTGTCCCATTTTACGACCTTTCTTCCACAGTTGTTAATTTGAATCACTGCAGTTAACTCAGTAACCTTGTCGTTCATTGACTCTGGCTTCCCCACTGACTGGTCAGAAGGTCGCAAAAGGGAATCACCTGACCCCGGGAAGCTGCAGCCGTCATAAATATGAACCAGTGGCTAAGCATCTGAATTCTGATCACAAGACCATGGGGATGCTGCAATGGCCGTAAGTGTGAAAAACAATTATAAATCCCTTTTTTCAGTGACATTGTAACTTTCAATGGTCACTAAATAGTTGTAAGTCAAGGACTACCGTATTGCAAGATATAAACAAGCAAGAGACTTCATCTACCAACTCATAATAATGACCACATCTCTCTCTCTCTCTCTCCTTTTAAAGCAGTTTTTATGAGAATAACCTTTCTTCCAAGTCTTCCTTATCTCCAATTTGGGGTGCTGGAGTGAAAAGAGAAAGAGGAATGGTGGCAGCAGCAGCCGCCAAAAGAGTTCAGTGGGGTTTCTGCCAAGTTTCCCCATATCCTCCTGAATTATTTGGCCAGGCTCTCCTGATTTTTCACACCACCGCAAGCTAGACTAGACTTTCCACACTGTTGAACCCAAAGTCCTCAAATGACTTCCCAGCGTTTTACCAGCCACCCACAAAGGCTGTTTCCTCATCCTGGCTTTGAAAACAGATGGCCGTTTGAATCCTGATTCCTCGCCAGATCTGAGTTAAGAGATGGAATTTCTGGATCCAGAAGAATTCGGCTCATCCGGATTCAGTTTGCTCGGAAAATCTCCCAAAGCCAAATAACCCTTTTTCCCCCAAAACCTCTCAAACTAGCCCCAAGTTTGCTTTCTGTGCTTTTTTTCTGAAAAGCAGGCAAAATGTCATTTCCAAAGCCCACCCTCATCCCGTGCCCCAGTCGTTAAAAAAACCCCACCAGGCGACCCTCCTCTTCCCTTTTCCTGGCTCCTCAAAGACAGAAAAGTCCCCAGCCTCTCCCAGCCCCACCTGTTAAGCTGACCCGTTCTTTGCAAGGCAGCAGAGATCGACAGAGGAGAAGGCGAGGAGAGAAAACAAGGCACCGCTTTCCTCACTGGGCTGGCATCCTCTCATCCCAGTGGCTGGAGGAAGGGGCCCCTCTGTTATTCCAGCGCTGCCTTTCACTCTCACCTCGGGTACCCTCAACTACTCCAGAGAAGCACCAGAGACAGAGTGTCTAGACTTCAGTGCAGAGCCTTCACCTGCATCGCACTGCACGGAGGAGGAGGAGGAGGACGATGACACCCTGGGAGCAGCTTTGGAGAGCCGTGTACCTACCACCGAAGGAGAGGGCAATGCAGCTGTGACATCACAGTGGCTTCCTTCTCCCCGCCAGTTTAGGCCAGACCACTGAGGCTGGAACATGAAAAGCTGAAGTGCCTATAGGAAGCAAAGGCTCGGGGAGGCTGCAGTGCCGGACACAAGAGATGCTCAGACCGTCAGACCAGAGGGTCTTCCTTCCCCGGGCCACCACCCATCCGTCCGAGGAGAAAACAAGGCTGGGAAGGTGCTGGTGGGCAATGGAGATCCCGGTTCTCCATGCACGTCTACATAGTGTCACACATTCTAATCATTAAAAAAGAGAGAGAGAGAGGAGACGGGCGACATCTAGCCAAAGCATCCCAAGCATGATTTCCTTCCGATAGTTGCTATGGTGACCTTGGGAAAGTAGCCAACCCTGAGATGGTAACCATGGAAACAAGAGAAGCCCAAAAGCAAATCATGACTTGGGGTCATCTCTGTGCAAAGGCATGGGGAGGGAGGGAGGGGAGGGAGACAGTCAACAAATCCATGCATTTCAGGCTGCATGGGGGAGAAAGAGAAGGAAAGGGGGGAGAGGGTTTGGGGGGGGGGGCGTTGTTTGCTGGAGCAGCCTGAGCGGCTCCTGGCCTGACTTGTGGCAATCAGCACCATGCCTCCTCCTCCTCCTCCTCCTCCTCCTCCTCCTCCTCCTCCTCCTCCTCCTCGTGAAATGCGCAAAACTGGAACCCAGAGTCTGTTGCTCCTGCCTCGGGAGGCAGAGGGACACCCAAGCTTTCCAATAGGCACTGGACATCCCCTTGCCCAGCCCCTCCTCCTTGGCCCACCAGAGCTGCCTCACTGAAGTCCAGGGCCCTTTTTTAAAGAAACAAGAGAAGCGGTGAGGCCGGCCATCCGGGAAGGTAAGGTTGAGAAGTTGTCTCCTTCTGCTTATGAAGCAAAGGCAACCTGCTTCCCAACACGCCAAACCAAAACAAAACAAAGCGTCTCAGCCCAGTGCAGTAAAGCCGGTAAAGCCGTGGCTTGTTTAACTTTCAAAGCTTTGGGATTACGGTACAGAAACAGAACTAGCAGAGGCATGTTTGTTTCTTTTTTCCAGATTCTCGCAAAGAGCTGGAGCAAGCAGGAAGAGCCAAGCGAGGATGCAGCAGAAACCTGGGAAAGGGACTGCCAAGCGGGGCTACAGCAGCGTGTGTTTTGTTCACCGAAAACGGTCACTGGTGCTCACGGCTCCCTGAAAGCTGCTTAGCGCTTCCTAGAAGACAAACACGCTGAACCTCCCACGTGGAGGGACCACGGCTCAAATGACTGGGTGACGGTGTAAAGAGCAAGCAGAGCCAGGAGCATGGAGGGGGGGCAAAGGTGACCACACCATGTTGCCTTTTCCTGCAAAGGAGCTGAGGCCCAGCACCGAATCCAGAGGCAGCCATGCAACAGGGAAATAAGACGAAGAAAGGCAGAGCTGAGGGGGGGGGGGAGGCAAGAGAAGGTTTACCTTGGACTTGCAAAGCTCTTCCCAAACCCTTGTTCGTTCCTTTACAGCTGTCCTCTCCTGCCCTCATGTTTGGAAGCGGTTGCCAGGCGCCCCAGCAGCCCGCTCAAGGTTGGGACCCCTCCTCGGAGGAAGGGGGCCCCTGCAGGTAGCCCCGAGGCCAGAGCACAGGGCAGAGGGGTGGGTGGGAGGGGTTCCTCTCTCTCCCGGGGTAGGCGAACACGGGCAGCATGGCTTAGCATACACATCCCTCCAGTGCCATAGCTATGCAATGAGTCACCGGCTGTTTACAGAGTGAGGAACAGCTCACATTCCCACAGAGGCAGCAACATTTCCTCCTCCTCCCCCTGGCCGGCCTTCCCGCCCCGTCCCTCTCCCCACCCCAAGCCCTAGAAGGCGAAAGGCAAGACTCCTCCGCCGACTTGGCAGTTATGCCAGAAAAGGGAACTTTCAAAACACGTTGAAAAATAAATAAATTAAAAGGGGGAGAGGGGAAATGAAGCAAAATTTGGGCCCCATCCCATCCCCAAACATTTGAAAAAAAAAAAAAGATCTTTGACCAGGGAAATCTTCAAAGGCCTGGCTCTCTCCCCACAACACAACAACCAACCAATGGAAAAAGCACGCACACTCGGTGACTGGGAGAAAGGTGCCTCCAATGCAGAGAGTTCCTGTGTCTCCTCTCCCCACCCCCACTTGTTCACATTTCTGAGGTCTTCTGACTACCTCCTCCATCATGGGGCCCACCTGTTGCAATGTTACATTCTGGGTTTTTAACACAGCAAGGTTTGTAGTTGGCTTTTTGCTGTCACCGATTGCAGGGCTGTCCTGCCTGCCGACAAAATTTATTCAAATTTTGCCTTGAAACGGAAATGTCCACAGGTAGCATTCAATAAGGCGAGACTGAAAGAATGCAACTGACTTCGAGCGAACGCAAAACAGCAAAACATTGAGCTTCCCTTTGTGTTAGTTATTTGTATCCCAGCTTGATTATTATTTTTACAAATAATTCACCCAGAGTTACATAAAAAGGACGCCCAGAGAAACAACTGCTTTTGTCTGCTGCGGCAATCTCATTTCAGGGACCGAAAGAAAACTTTCACACACAAACACTAACTTGAACCAACTCTCCCTCCCTGTTGGGGCCAATGGAAACTGTAGTCCCAAATGACTAGTAAAGGCACTGAGCTGGGAAAGGCTGAAGAACTTGTCCACAAGTCTAGTTTGCACTGCCCCATGTAGCCTTCTCGAAACATTTTTTTTCCAAAGCTTCCATCTATGGTAAAGGCAAGCGCTTTCTATATTTACTTTTTATGCCGAGCAGAGCGCCACTTTTCTGTCCAGGCTCTCCGAGGTACAAAACAGGGTTAATTATCCATTGCGCAAAGCCCTGCTGATACTGCCAGCTGCCGCTGGATAACATCCGGTCCGTGGCATTTAGGAAGTGACTGTAAGGAGGAAGATTTCTCTGCGTTGGAGACACGAAGGAAGAAAAACACACAGCGAGCTGTGGTTTTCATCAGTGCTGAGGCAGAAAGGTAAATGAATGAAATATTACATGCCAGAAGGCTGGCTGGGGGAGTTGTTTGAACGGGACTGCAGAGGACCTTGAAATTCCGTTTTTTTTTTTCATTAAAAAAAGAAAGAAAAGCTACTTATGGCTTCCCATCCTGAGAGGTTGTGAAATGCCCAATATTTCTGTTTCTACCTTCTTCTGAGCCCCCGTTTATTATGATAAGGCAGCAAAAACACAGTAGTTCTCTCGGGCATCTATTGCCATAGAGCAGTGTTTCCCAAACTTGACAATTTTAAGGCATGTGGACTTCAACTTCCAGAATTCCACAGCCAGCGTTGCTGGCTGTGGAATTCTGGGAGTTGAAGTCCTCATGCCTTAAAATTGTCAAGTTTGGGAAACACTGCCATAGAGAATTTGCTTGGTGGGCTAATTATTTATTCCAACAGTCTCATCTCTGCTTGTCCCTTTCAACATACTTTTTTTTTTAGCTTTGAAAGGAGAGAGGGAGAAGGAACGGAGCACTTGAAATCAGAGTTGAAATGATTTCGTCTCACAAGCTGGAGGAATTCCTCCCTCTCATGATGCCTGGTCATTCAGTATTTATGGCTTTATTTTTTGCACCGTGTGGTTTAGCACTCCCCCCCCCCCAAACCTTGTGGCAGAGACATGGTCTCAATTGCTTATGGAGAGTAACTTCCTCCCAATTGCTGAGGGTCTTCAGTGGGGAAAAAGAACGTGCCCCACAACCAAATCCTGTGAACCAACAAATGTGTGTGGCTATTTTTCAACCCCGCTTGTTTCTAAGGAGCTCCTGATCAAAAGCTGAAAGGCTTAAAACGAAGTGGTCCACTTCAGTGCAGCTCTATTATAGTGTACTTACAGAGATATTACAAATGGCAACACTTAGGCTGAAAAGCTACTACTGCCTTCCTCAATTTAGCATCTCCAGATGCATTTGAGGGTAAATCTCAGCATCTCCAACAAAGATGGGATCATAATGATGGAAGGTGCAGCCCAACCCCTTCTCATGACACTGATTGCTACTTTAATCAAAGACCGTTTTGATTGCCCTCCTAAACACACCACAGTCCTTCTAGTTATACTGTGTGATTTTTTAGGGTTTTTTTTTCCCACCAGTTCCTGGCACTGTTGCAAACAGCAACACTTTAAGACTTCTTCTCTTTTGGAACTCTGAAGTTTGAAAATTACTGCTGAAAAGGAAACTGGCATTGATTTACCAAAGGATCCAAAATCTCAGCATCCATAGCTGTATCCTGTCCCCTTCCAAGATCTACATATAATATACAGTGAAACACATTTCCCAACAAGTATTCTTTGTTTCAAAAACCTAATTCTGTGCACTGCTACTTGTTCTGAAACACTACCATAAAGAGAAGGGAATGGTCTATTACTAGTTATCCTTTTTGCAACAGCCTCTACTATGGCCTACAGATCTAGCCTTCCAAAAAATAGACTTGTTTCTAAAAGGGTGAATGCAAGTCGATGATTTAGCTCTTACTGTACTTTATTTACACTCAATCTGGCGAAAGTAGATTAAGCAGCTCAAAAGGAGGCGGCCTGTAAAGGAGGTTACCAGCTTGGTTTGAGCACAAACACCAAAGATGCAGGCAGGGTTCTCCTTGAGCAAACTGGGCACTCTCTTAGGAGAGTTACTAAGATGTCCGTATCTAGTCCAGTCTAACCAGTGAGCCAATGAGCCAAGAAGACTGGAGAAGCATCTTGCATCGTTAATCATATGATTGTGAAATCAAGACCTTGTGAGAACGTTGCTAGCCGCATGGATGGTCTCACGCAAGGAGAGGATATAAGTATCGGTTCCTTGTTTAGAATTCAGAGGTGAGCTGTCCTGTGAAAGTACCTCCAGTTACTAATATTGAGAGTAGGCTGTAGGGATGAAATGACTTGTAGAACAGGAAACTCCCTTTTTATTTTGCAACGGACCACTCACTGCAGCATCCGGTTCAAGCAACTGCCCCCCAACTTATCTGCTGCATGTCTTCTCTAAATGCCTGATGCCTGCTGATGCATGCCAGTAGGGAGCATGCATGGAAATGGAATGCCCCAAATGCAGCAGTTACCTGGCACAGGCAGAAGCATGCATGCGTGTTCCAACCGAAAAATAAAACTGCAAGGACTCAGAAGCCTCTCCTTCCTTGAAAATGATGCTCTGTTGATCCATTCAACATACGTGTGTAAAATTCCCTTCAGAGGACAACCCCTCAAACTTTCCTAATTATTCAAATCGTGCCCATCAATTACGCGCTAGAAAACAACCAATTTAATAGATAGATCGACATGTACACCGCCCTGAGTCCTTTGGGATTGGGCG